GTCAAGAATAAGTGCCTGAAACAGAAAAAAGGGCTTATTGGACTTAAAAGACATTTTTCGTAGATTAAGCGTTAACTAGTATGTAAGCCGCAAGTGCAAGCGTAGTACTAGTCATAGCTTAAGTTCATTTTTGTTAACAATAAAAAACAATAATAAAAAACGCTCCTGCGAAAGGAGAGGTATTGTTTGATACAGTTGTTAGGTTTGAGAAGCTTAAGCGTAACAAACAAATCCTTTAGTAAAAAGGAGTTGCGCTGGTCGAAGGAGAGCAGCCGTCGCTGCGTTTGGCGTTGTGGTTGAGTTTTATTTTAACGACTGTTTTATTTTCTTTTTAGAGAGTTGTACTGTGTTCTTTTTTAAGCGTTAACTACAGTTTTAAGTTTTGTTTTGTTTAAGTCCTGTACTAGGGTAGAACAGGTTATTTGCGTAGTAGTTAACAAAGGCTTTAGGTTTAAGGTTCACGGAGGTGACGTAAGCAAGGAGCAAACCCGTGTAGTAAGTGTGAAAAACCCCGAGGGTTGTTGTAGAGAGTAAAAATTTAAGGTGGTAGTTAAGGCCACCCGAGTGTTGTAATAAAGTCTGTTAGGCATAACGAGTTCAACTAACGTCGTGTAAGTCGTTAATTGAACTTTTCGAAATTTTGTTAAAGGTTCGACTTAAGAAAGAATTTTTGTATAGCGGGAAGCGTAAGCCTCCGTAGTATGTAGTAGTGACAAAATTTTTCCTTAATCGATTTGTTTAAGTAATTTGTTTATTTAACAAAATATTTAAACAAGGTATTGTTTGCACACTCCCACGGATCCTAAAGATGCAAGAAATCCGGCTTAGGTTGTGACCGGGGTTAGGTGTTTGAATAGATGAGACTTACTTTTTCTCGTCCCTATTCAACGGTCGCCAGGTGTTTTATCGCTGTTCGCTTCCTCCAAACACCAAGGATTTCGTCAGCCGCGTGTTTCAGTCCTTCCCCTCTTCTTTAACCTGAGTACATCTTTCCAGGGCACAGGGAGAACAAAACAACGCTCTTCACAAACACTACTTAGTTTTCACTACGTTTATTTTTTATACTTATATATTATACATAAATTTTTCACGCTCTTAATATTACTCGCGTAAAACAATAACTAATTCATGCGCAAAAATGAGCCGCGAAGAGCTTGTTTGTATCGCCTATAGATCCGCACTTGGCGAGAGCTCTCTATCGACTGCTTGCTCCGCCGCCTCTCCTGACCGCGCAGCTTCGCCTCCCCACTCCTCTTATTCTAGGGGCGCGAATAAGGGTAAGTATGTGTGTTGTGAGAATGTTTGTGTATGTGTGGTATGGATGGTGTCTGTTTTTCTACTTAATCGTGTGTTAGTGTATACATGTAGTACGAGTCGAATGAATGAGTTAATATGTAAGACTAGTATGGCTGAGCCAAGTGTGACCTCCTAGCTTGAATAATGTATGTGTGAACCCTTAGTTGATTGTGTGTGTGTGCGTTTTGAATGACTATGTATGTACGAGTTAACCACTGATAATAGTGTAGTTGGAGTGTGTGTGGTCCTCTGGTGTGCGTGTATCTTGTAAGAGTGTTTATTCTAGTATGTGTGTGTGTCTCTTAACTGATCCTATGTATGTGACTTAACGGCTGATTTTAGTGTGGATGGGATGTGTACGACCTTCTGATGTGTATGGTATAGGTGTATGGCCTTATGCGTGTATTTGTATATAACCTTATGTACGTGACTTAATGATTGTTTTTAGTGTGGACGGTGTGTGTATGATCTTCTGATGTGTATAATATAGGTGTATGGCCTTATGCGTGTATGTGTATATGATCTTCAAGTGACTGTAAGGGTGCGAGTTAAGGTGTGTGCCTGTGTACGTATACTGTGGGCTTGAACCCTGACTGATTGGTGTATGTCCGAACTGTTACTTGTTTACTTTTTTCCTGGGTGTGTATTTATGTGTATGTGTAACTTAACGCATGGGATTGTGTGTGTGTGTTGCGTAGGGGTATAACATGTTACTAATGTGTGATTGAGTGTTTATTTGTTTGTTTGTTTGTTTTGTGTGTGTTTGAGTGTACTTACAAGCGGCCCTTTAACTCAAACAACGACGGCAATAGAAAACAAGTAACTAAAATAATAAAACTAAAACTAAAACTAAAAAGAAATTTTTGCCTTTAACGGCTAATCACAACGGGTTATAAAACTTAGGAACTTAATATTGCCAACTATGACTACTTGAACCCTTAACTAAGACTTACTCGTTTTGGCTTAAAATTAGCTCTTACAAAACATGACTAATACTGTTTACCTGTTGCATAAATATATACTTAAACATATCCCTTTACGGGTTACCAACAAAAGAAACATAAATAACTAGTTTTGCCTTAACGTTCCTCTTGTTCCACAGGTTTTTGCTGACCGTCCTCCGCAGCCTTGATTATTAACTCCTGCTGGCCATTCCCCAAGTCCTGGTGCAGCCGATCCAGTCCGTGGTCGAAGTACTGATGGTCGTCCTCCGGTTGCCTACCAGTCCCGGGTGACAAGGTCACGCCCGGGAAAAGTCCCCGCGCTAGGAACTTTTCTTCACGAACAAACCTTAAGGCGCGGTTATCGTGAGTTCGTGTAAACGGTAACCTTAAGGCCAAGAAGGAACGACCACCATCTTAGTTCTTTAGTCTCACACGGAACCTCGTGCGGTACGGATGCTATTTCTAAAACACGTACGAATAACAAGTTCCGGGAGCTCGTTGCTAGCGCTAATTAATAATAATAAGTGCGTTAAACAATCCACTGTGATTACAGTGAGTGTAAACAGTGAGAGGAATAAATATACTCGTTATTTTATATACGTATAACCGAAATAAAAGGTGTTGTTATTATTCGTGCGAGTGCACGTGTATCCTGCCATTCCCAAGGATCCCGAGGGTTAAATCATCCCCGTAGACGGACGGAGGGCAGCCACCCTTGTTGCTAGGCGGTAAAAGCAACTGGCGACCGTGAAGAACATCATCAAAAGTAAGTCCTTGACCAATTATCAGCCTAACCCCGGTCACAACCTAACCTAACCTTGTCACCAGAGCCGGAACCACGTGAGGACTTGGAAGCGTGGCAGAACACGGGGCAACACCGGACGTTAGTCAGGGATGCGTTGCTGAACGCCCAGCTGCGTTATGAGAGAGCAGAACTCCGGAAGGAAGCAACAAATTGGGCAGAGTGTATATTAAGGGAAGTCTTGAGCGAAGTGGAAACAAGAACGTGTCCCTGAAAAGAAAAAAGGACTTTATTGGTTTTAATCGTTAATTGTTTTTTGTTATTATTGTTATGACTAAACAGGGTAAACTTACCTGCGTGCGAGCCAAAACTAGCGTATAGGTGTAAGACTAGTTGTAAGCTCGTGTTTTTTTTTTTATGTACACTTAACCAGCAATAAAGTAACAAGCCTAAGTAACGGGGCTTATTGTTGTAGGTAGTTTGTAATGCGGTAGAACAAAAGAGCGTAGCTAGAATAACCTCTAAACTTGGAAGGAGCTACGTCAGCGGAGAAAGAGACTGTAAAGCCAGGAAAAAGGCTTAAGAGTAGTTTTAAGTTTTATTTTACTGTTTAAGGGTGTTCTTTTGTTTATTGTGGTTTTGATGCAACTTTAGTTGTTTTGAGTTACCTAGGGCAGTTAAACGCCGTTAGAAAGGTCAGTCGTGTGTTAAGAGGTTGTTAACAATGTCTTTTAGTTTTAAGCCTGCGAGAGTGAGAATCGGGCTGTGAACAACCAGAGTTTGTTAGGTCTAAGACAGAATCACACGAAGACGACTTAAACGCTAAATAAAATAATTTAGAGAAACTGTTTAAGCAGTTAAAGAAAAGTGTGCGAGTTAAGAGTAAAGGTTAGGTTAACAAGGTTCAGCTAAAGATATTCACGCGTAGTATGAAAGAGAAAATCGTTAACTAACAATTTTGAGTTTTTGTTAAAAAATTTGAGTTAAAGGAAAATTTTGGTATCTTGTGTAAGAGAAGATTGTGGTGGATGCCAACATATCAAAATTTTGGCTTAATGAGTAATTTTGCAATAATTTGTTAATTAACAAATTATTTATATGAAACCTTGTTTTCCTGTCAGAGAAGGTTCGCAGCGTAACAAAAAAGGCGCTTAGTTCGCGCTCGTGTGAAAATCCCTAGTTTGGGGGTCTTTTACTTTTGTAGTTTGAACGCACCTAAAGGCAGGACCCACATGCGCTCATGTGAGTAGTGCCTTTAAGGCGAAGAAGAAGCAGCGACCATTTTGGGTCGCCAGTCGATTTACGGAAACTACACGAGACAGACGCGTTGCGCGAGAGTCGTGTTAAAACAAGTTTTTGTAGAGACTCGTGTGTTCGCTAAACAATAACTTTTAGTGATATTAATGTACATCGCGATATTATTAGTGTTAGACTTGTGCAATAAAGCATATTATATATATATTCGTGATAAAACTTTGTGTGTATCATTACGTGCGCGAGTGCACGTGAACAATACCTGCCATTTCAACAGAGTGCGGAGGGACAAACAACCCCGTGGGAACTCGAGAGGCAGCAACCCTTGTTGCTTGGAGGGAAGAAAGCAACTGGCGACCGTAATTTATCAACGAAAGGGTAAGTCCTTGACCATTACCGCGCCTAACCCCGGTCACAACCTAACCTTTTTTTTTTTTTTTTTTTGTCAAAAATCATCTTCAGGGGTTGAAATGATTCCATCACCGGTACTGACCCTGGAGTATTGCTTCGGTGATGGGATCCCTCCTGTGGCCTGGTGTTCGGGCCATAATAGTTCTTGGCCAGGAAGGTGTATCTACTGGCGCACTGTCGGTGTTAGGTTAGGTGGCGGAGCGAGGTGACCCGCTTCACGCCCAAACTCATCGTCGACGAGTTTCTTCCCGCCCAATGTGTGACCCGGAGGTCGCACATTTGGCTTACAACTGTGCTAGAGCACCCGGAACAGCTCTGACAGACCAAAAAAAAGGCCCGGAGAATTTTGATGATTACTCGGCACTACCAACAGGGGAACGTCCCCTGGCTTCTCTATCTCTCTCCGCCGTCTCCTTAGCGAGCATTACTGCTTCGCTAAAGGAGACGACCGCATCCCACACAACAACGTCGGTGGCCATGCCGCGGAATAGCACCGCCAGGGACAGGTCCGGTCCGACTACCTTACAGAGTGCTCTGCGTTCGGCTTTCCATGCAGGGCACTCGGCAAGCGTGTGACGAGCCGTGTCAACGGCTGCGTCACAATGCTCGCATTTTGGCGTTCTCGCTTTGCCAATACGGTGCAGATATTCGCCGAAGCTGCCGTAGCCAGCGAGCATCTGTGTCGTCCGGTATGTCAACTGACCCCGATGTGGTCGGTCAACCCACTTGCGGAGGACGGGGCCCAAGGCGAACCGTACCTCCGCGCCCGGCAGTCTGGGGTCGCGCACGCGAGCGCTCCACTGCCGAATCATCTCCTTGCGCGCCTTGCGCCGCAGCTCCGCGACGTCAGGAAAGGGATCACCCGGTGGGGGATCACGCGTTGCACGGAACGCCCGACTCAAACACTGAGCCTGCAGCTCGAATGGTGGAGTGCAGGCGAGCATCCCCGCTACCACGCCGGACACCGTCCGGTACGCGCACACAAGGCGCGAAGCCATCGTCCGCTGGAGCCGGCGGAGCGCGACGCACCCCCACCTACAGCGGAGAAGATCGTCAGCCCACACCGGGGCCCCATACAAGACGATGGAGTTGACCACCATCGCGTAAAGGCGGCGTTGTCGCTCGCCTGTGCCGTGCAAATTCGGCATAAGCCGTCCCAACGAGGAGGCCACCCGTTCCCCCTTCTCCAGGACTGCCTGAAAGTGGGCGCGAAACGACCACTGTCCGTCGACCAGTAGTCCCAAATACTTAATGTGCCGACGAACGGGCACATGGGCTCCAGCAAGCTGGATTCCCTCCGGCAACGGATCGTGGTGGCGGCCGGCAAAAGCAACCACCTCCGTCTTCTCGGGGGCCACCCGTAAACCAAGGCGCTGGATGGCACGGACCAGTATCTCCGTACCCAACATGGCCATGTTCACGGCCACCGCCGACGACCGCCCTTCCGCAACAAGGAGAGTGTCGTCGGCATAACAAACTAGCCGACACCCGGGGGGAAGTTCCTCACGGAGAACTTCATCGTAAGCGATGTTCCACAGGAGTGGCCCAAGGACCGACCCCTGCGGAACACCGCATACCACGCGGCGATGGTAAAGTCCATTGTCTTTGCCGACGTACGACACCTGCCTCTCGTGGAGATAGTCTTCCACAATCGCCCGGACGTAGTCCGGGAAGGCTCGGCACTCCATGGCAGACAGGATAGCTTGCCAGGGGACAGAGTTGAAAGCGTTGGAAATATCAACGCTGACAGCCACCGCAACCCCGCCTCTGGCAACTATGTCTTCCGTGTACCTACGAAAACGCAGAATGGCGTCGATCGTCGAACGGCCAACACGGAAGCCAAACTGCGCGTCATCCAAATCGCACCCAGGCTCCCGCAAATGCCTATGGATTCGG